ACCTAGTGAGGTAGAGGCCTGCCTCTACCCACCTAGAGTAAGGTTAAACAACGCTCTTCGACAATACGCCTTTAGAGCTCAAAAACTAGCCCCAAACCACCCAATTAATATTGCTATAACTAGCAATAAAGGGGAACAACTAGATCAGATCACTAGATCTATCTCCACAGTCCTTGCTAGAAACACTGAGGAGATACAACATTACGCCTTCACACCTTGGAACTCAAATATCCCATACAAGGTCTATATATCTAAAGAGCCTAAAGACATAGAAGCAAAGAACCACAAGGAACAACTAGTAGATAACAGCCTTCTATCTATCTATTCTGATGCCTCAGCTACAAAGCAAGGCAAAGGTGTAGGAGTAGGGGTTGCATTCTATCTAGGAACAACACAAATAGCCCAAGAACAATATACTATAGGGAATAACCAGAGAAGCCTGCGAAGGCGATCTATCACTACCTATCCTCCTTCAAACAAAAGAGGGTATAGAAGCAACTATTACCTTTATTCAAGAAACAAAGGCTAGAACACAAGCCTAGTACAAGGGAAACACAGAAAACGAGGAGTAATACCTGTAACAGGTAGCCATACACCTCCCCCACCCTATCCTCCCCCCCCCTACCTACCAACCAATAGGCTACGAGCCTCACCTTTATCTAGTTAAAACCCCTCCTAAATATCGTAGCTAGAAACAACCTACTTAGATACTTGTAGGCCTTAAAACCCTACACGTCTTATATAGCCCTTTGGGCTGAAAAAGGACGTTAAACTAGAATAATAATAATAATATTATAGCTAACGTGTTTCACTAGTAAGCGGGCCACCCTAGTATGTGGGCTACCTCTTTAAACTTTTACATCTTTGTAATAGTATTGCGCAACACTACTATAATATTTTTTATTAAGTAGAATAAGATATTATTCTTTAGACGCATTGCTATCCTCTATATCCTCTAATTCTACTTAACAAGTGCAAAAGTTGTGTCTAATTTGGCTATAACGCCCGCAGCGCCGTTCACTACGCACCCTCTTCGCAGACGTTGCACCATTATTATAGCTGTAAGAGGCTACGCCTAAAGTGTGTGTGTGATCGAGTATATCTATACGACTACCTAGACTTCAAGAAGCTTGAAGTCTTGTTACTGCCTTTTTGGCTATGGATGGCGTAAGTAGTCGTACGCTCGGCCCGTTGGGCCCGCCCATTACAATAGCTACCACCCTCTACCTTAGCGATCTAATTAGCTATCTAGCTAACTGTCTAGGACCCCTCTGCTTGTACATAGCGCCTCTTACAAGTTTTTTGCTTTATTACTTTAGTAATTATAGCTTTAAGGCGATTAAGTTTCTCCTATATTAACACTATATTATAAGCTATCTGCTAAGCTTCTTTACTTAACTGCTATATCTGCTTCTTAAGAGAACTTGTAGGAGACCCTTGCTAGATTTGCATATAGTTTTAAATAAGCGTAGCCTGCGCCTCTATTTCGCGCGCGTTGCGCGGCGTTTTTAGCTCTCAAGCAGTAGTCTCTTGCGCTAGTGGAGTTAGCGTACGCAGCATGACGTTAAGCTGTGATAAAACAACGTTATAATTATGTGGTGAAAGTCCAGCACCTTAGAACCCTCTGTGGATATTTTCTAGTGTAATAGCCTTATAATAGGCCTTTTTAAACGCTAGTAGAAAGGTTTCTTTGCTAATATAGTAGATGCGATTGCGTGCTAAGACCAAGATAGCATCACCATACGCGCGCTTTAACGGCGAGAAGCAGCCCACATTAAGAGGCTGTAAGAGGTGCGACGAGTGGGGAGGCATACAGAGGAGGATTATTTTCATCT